CAGTATTTTGTGTTGGTTATTCTGTGTGTCAAGTTCTGTAATTCATGGGGGTCTCAGTGGTCTGTGAAAGTCAGAGCTGAATTGGTTGAGGGTACTGCAAATCCCATCATCCATTATCTATACGCCTGCAAAATATTTTTTGCCACTCTGCTTTAATTATGTTGAATTTGTAACCATGAAAATACATCCTGCATATCAGATATTTACATTACAATTCATAACAGTAGCAGAATTGCAGTTTAAAAGTAACAATGAAAATAATTTGATGGTTGGGGGTCACAACAATATGAATCATAGAATCATAGAATCATAGAATCAAAGAGTTGGAAGAGACCTCATGGGCCATCCAGTCCAACCCCCTGCCAAGAAGCAGGAAATATTGCATTCAAATCACCCCTGACAGATGGCCATCCAGCCTCTGCTTAAAAGCTTCCAAAGAAGGAGCCCACCACACTCCGGGGCAGAGAGTTCCACTGCTGAACGGCTCTCACAGTCAGGAAGTTCTTCCTAATGTTCAGATGGAATCTCCTCTCTTGTAGTTTGAAGCCATTGTTCCGCGTCCTAGTCTCCAAGGAAGTGCTCCCTCCTCCCTGTGGCTTCCTCTCACATATTTCTACATGGCTATCATATCTCCTCTCAGCCTTCTCTTCTTCAGGCTAAACATGCCCAGCTCCTTAAGCCGCTCCTCATAGGGCTTGTTCTCCAGACCCTTGATCATTTTAGTCGCCCTCCTCTGGACACATTCCAGCTTGTCAATATCTCTCTTGAATTGTGGTGCCCAGAATTGGACACAATATTCCAGGTGTGGTCTAACCAAAGCAGAATAGAGGGGTAGCATTACTTCCCTGGACCTAGACACTATGTTCCTATTGATGCAGGCCAAAATCCCATTGGCTTTTTGCCGCCACATCACATTGTTGGCTCATGTTTAACTTGTTGTCCACGAGGACTCCAAGATCTTTTTCACACATACTGCTCTCAAGCCAGGCACTGTCCCCCATTCTGTATCTTTGCATTTCGTTTTTTCCTGCCAAAGTGGAGTATCTTGCATTTGTCACTGTTGAACTTCATTTTGTTAGTTTTGGCCCATCTCTCTAATCTGTCAAGATCGTTTTGAATTCTGCTCCTGTCCTCTGGAGTATTGGCTATCCCTCCCAATTTGGTGTCGTATGAGGAACTGTTCTATGACGTATTCATTGAAAAACTATTGCAAGATGTTCTATAGTAGTATGTTCCAAGAGTTTGTAGTTTAGTACACTTTCCCCATGTTTTTATGACAGAATCAATTAGGTAATTACAACCTAGGAACAAAAACTGTGTGACACAGTGCTATTTTGACAAATTTGCATTCCATTTTCTGGAACCTATTGTGCCTCTTTTTTGGATGTCCACTAAGCTGTGGGATAAAACGGATCCAAATTTCGGGTGAAATACTTGGACGCTTCTGAAAGTGAGAACTAGAATCCCGTTTACAAACTGGAAACCAAACTATCAAACTATCCCTACAATTGACCGCAAAAATCACATCCCTTTCCTTGTTCGACATCCAGAGAAAGAGAGCTTCCATATGATGATGTCATATAAACATACACAAAGATACAGAAATTCGTGTTAAGATCAGAACTTACCCAAAACCCTAAAAACTGGAGAAATGAATGGTAAAGCCGTACTTTACCAGGATGTTTGATTCCCGGTGGGATGTGTATCCTGGTCTGATCGTAATAAATCGCCCATGAGACCCCGAAGACTAGAATGAAAAGGCTGGCATATAACACAAGCATCCCGAGAGTTGCAAGAAATGCCATGCTCATGACGAACGAAAGGACTCCTGTTTGTCTCGGTTGGTTTCCGATATTTAATATCACACCAGCCTCAATTTATTTATTTCCTATAATTGTATCCCGCCCTTCTCACTCTCAGGGTAATTAAAACAAATTAAAACAATGAGAGCCATGTTTCAACACTGGAAAGGATACACACAAGAGGTGTGAATTTTTTAATTAGTCGTATCAAATGAATCAAATACATACTTATGAGACGATATCCATCATGTGCTAAACTTAAGAATTGAAACTAACGCAATGAATGGTTGAATCTGCAAAGGGGAGAACTGGCTGGACAATTTCTGTACTGGGCTTCTGAATGAAGCAGAGTGTTTGAGGACTGGGACGTCCATAGGAATACCAAGCTGCTTGTTTATAAAGCCATTGTCCTCCCAACTCTGCTATACGCCTGCAAAACATGGACTGTCTACAGTCATACACAAATCCTGACACGATTCTATCAGCGCTGTCTCTGAAAAATCCTGCAAATCTCATGGGAAGACAGGCAGACAAATGTCAGCGTGCTGGAAGAAGCAAAGACCACCAGCATTGAAGCGATGGTCTTTCGCCATCAACTCCGCTATACAGGCGACGTTGTCTGAATGTCCGATCACCATCTCCCAAAGCAGTTACTCTATTCTGAACTCAAGAATGGGAAACAGGATGTTAGTGGGCAGGAAAAGAGATTTAAAGATGGGCTTAAAGACAACCTCAAAAATTGTGGCATAGACACCTAGAACTGGGAAACCCTGGCCCTTGAGTGCTCTAACTGAAGGTCAGTTGTGACCAGCAGGAAGAGAGAAATGTGCCAAGAAGAAGGTGCATCAAGACAACCCTGACCGGGACTGCCTTCCATCTGGAAACCGATGTCCTCACTGCAGGAGAAAATGCAGATCAAGAATAGGCTCCACAGTCACCGACAGACCCACTGCCAAGACACCATATCTGGAAGACAATCATCCTTGAACTACGAGGGATTGTCTAAGTAGGTTAGTAAGCTAGGCTGAGGGGAAATCCCTCAATAGAAGTTCTATTGGTCAATATGGGAGAGAGACATTCAAGGAAATAGCAGTTGGACTTTTTATAAAAAAAACTGAAACATTTTTGTCAAAACTTTTTTAAAAACTCTAAAATCAGTAGATGTGAGAATATTCCTGAAAGTTGTGGGGAATTGTCTCCTGTTATCTTGTGTCATTGGATAGAAAATTCAAAATCGCTCTTGTAGTTTCTTATTGTTTGTAAAAATTTAGATAATTCCGCAAAATCTGTGGATATATGAAACATTCTGAAACTTGGTGTGCTAACAGTGGTAAATGTGTTCTACCTTTGAAGCAAGTTTCACCTCAATAGCTGTACAAATTAGGGAGAAAGGAGCCTCTGAAGTTTCCCTACTTGCCCTCAGGTGGAAAAAGTAAAGCTGTGGCTGCCATCTTACTCAGCACTGTGGGTCTCTCACCCCCAGCACTGACCAGCAACAGTCTGTGGGTCTCTCTCGCCCCAGAAACACCAGTAAAGCTGCTGCTCCCCAGTACTGACCACCACTATAACCCCACACAAACACCAGGAGATGATCTGCTTTAGGGATTGTGTGTCCTCAAAGGAAAGAAATAAAACTGTGGCTGCCATCTTACTTAGCACTGTGTTTCTCTCTCCCCCAGCACCCAGCAGCAAACACCAGGGGATGCTCTGCTTTAGGTATTGTGTATCCTCAGGGGGAAGAAGTAAAGTTGTGGCTGAAATCTTACTCAGCACTGTGGGTCTCTCTCCCCCAGCACCTACCAGCAACAGTCTGTGGGTCTCTCTCACCCCACACAAATACCAGGGGATGCTCTGCTTAGGTATTGTGTGTCCTCAGGGGGAGGAAACACCAGGGGATGCTCTGCTTAGGTATTGTGTGTCCTCAGTGGCTACCGTTTTACTCAGCAATGTGGGTCTCCCTCCCCAAGCACTGACAAGCTCTCTCCCCCAGCACCCAGCAGCAACAGTCTGTGGGTCTATCTCACCCCACACAAACACCAGGGGATGCTCTGCTTTAGGTATTGTGTGTCCTCAGGGGGAAGAAGTAAAGTTGTGGCTGCCATCTTACTCAGCACTGTGGGTCTCTCTTCCTCAGTACCAACCAGCAACATTCTGTGGGTCTCTCTCACCCCACACAAATATCAGGAGATGCTCTGCTTTAGGTATTGTGTGTCCTCAGGGGGAAGAAGTAAAGTTATGGCTGCCATCTTACTCAGCACTGTGGGTCTCTCTCCCGCAGCACCAATCAGCAACAGTCTGTGGGTCTCTCGCACCCCCCTCCCACAAACACCAGTTAAGCAGCTGCTCCCCAGCACTGGCAGCAATAGTCTGTGGTTCTTCTCGCCCCACACAAACACCAGGTGTCCTCAGGGAGAAGAAGGAAAGCTGTGACTGCCATCTTACTCAGCACTGTGGGTCTTACAACAGTCCGTGGGTCTGTCTCACCTCACACAAACACCAAGGGATAGATAGGGGGAAAGCTTCAGCAAGCAGTCTGCTACTGAGCTCAGAGAAATCATCCCATAAAAGCAGATTGTTGTCCCATACTTAATACAAATAAGACATCCCCTGGAAATAAGCCATAGTGTTTCTTGTTGAGGAAAAAAAATAAGACAGTGTCTTATTTTTGGGGAAACATGGTAAATAATCGAACAGGCCAGGTGGCCATCTAGCTCAATCTCTACCACAAGAAGATTTGTGGAAAGGAGTTAAATTAAACAACCACCACGGTAAGGATATGCCAGACTATCAGGTTTTTCAAGGTAGGATTTATTCAAGCAAGAAAGGAAGGAAGGAAGGAAGGAAGGAAGGAAGGGAGGGAGGGAGGGAGGGAGAGAGAAAGGAAGAGGACATGATGCCTCTACTTTGAAGGGTATCATATTGAGGCGTCGGTTAGTTTATTCTCTTCTTCTCTGGAGTCCAGAACAAGGGGAACTGATTCGTATTGGAGGAAAAGGAATTTCACCCTAACATTAGGAAATAGAGGTCTTGACGGTAAAAGCTGTTGGATATGGAGCTTGGGAGTGTGGTGGTTTCTCCTCTGGAGGTCTGGATGGCCATCTGTCAGGACGTCTTTCTGTTTGTTAGAATAGCGGTCAACCCAATGTTCACATCAACCGAATTATTAGAAGAAGCGTTGAGGGAAATTGATGAAGCGTTTTATAAATTGTTAAGGAAATGAATCACATGTTGGAAATGGCTTTTCGCAGTTGGGTATTCCAGTATCCGGTTGCCATAGTCATGTATTATTCCGTGGAAGCCCTCCTTGATGTGATACCACGTCACTGGGACGCCATTGTCCTCTAGCCGTTTCTTGTACAAGAGCCCATCGTCCCGGACTACATCGTATTCGCAGGTTAATAGGAAAGTCTTGGGGAGCTGGCGGATGATGTCATCTTCTGCTAAAAGCGGGGAAAACATTGGGTTAATGCATTCCTTGCAGATTTCATAAAGTTCTTGGGAAAACGGAGCCGGCTCCATGGGCACGTAYCCCCTGSCCTTAAATTCTTCTGGAATGTAGTCAGGATTGATCCATTTTCTGTATTTTGCCSACAAATGCTTGGGAACATGAGCGTTCTTCATTAKGCCCTCCACGTTGATCCTCTTCCCAGTCAGAAACGTCATGCCAAATATCAAGGCTCGTTTCTTGAACAAAAAAGGAACTGAATMGTTTTGCTGATAAGAAGGCAAATTGAAATCGATTGCTTGGAAGAATGGATATATAAGGACCTGACCTCGGAGCTTTGGGAGATCCTTCTGTGTTGCCAGATGTTGACAAACAGCTGTAGCAAATGTCCCTCCACTAGATTCTCCGAAGACAACAATGCGATTCGGGTCCACTCCGTATTCCTCTGCATTTTTCAAAAAGTGTATGGTAGCCGTGCAGCAATCCATCACTGGGATTGGYAATGGATGATCCGGAGCCAGGCGAAACCTGAAGCAGAAATGAGAAATGGTTTGAATCCGTACATCTAGGTGATGCATTCTATCAATGTGAAATCATAATAATAACAAATCTTACTGAAATGAACAACTTCTTCAAAAGCATAAGTAGGTCCTCCAGAATGACCCTATGGTCAACTTCAGGTGGAAACATAGCACAGAATTGTCAGAATTATTGAAGGTATGCATGTGTGTTTTATCAATGTGTTTCTATGTAATCAAGAATGGGTTAAGATGTAATTCAATATGGATTCTGTTATGTTAAATTGTGCATGAGAAATACTGTAAGAAGCAAAGAAGCAGAGAAAGAGTAACCTTGACAGAAGTAAYATAACGYTTCTCTGGCTGGGAAGAAAAAGGGAGGATCCGGCCAGAGAAGTGAGATAAGCASATGTTCAGAAAACTGTTTTGTGCTGTGCTTTGTAGTTCCTGATTTTTGCCCGCTTAGAATAGACGTGTGTAGAAGTACTGAGTAAACTTTGTGTTATTTTGAAACTGGAAAACTGCAGAGTCCTGGAATTTTTGGAGTCCTGTGTCTGTTTSATCTAGCAACCTCTTCCGCTGCGCATACACTTTTTTTAACTCTGATAAGAATTATGTTGGAGGACCTAAAAAATGTCTCACACAGAGGAAGTAGGAAGTCATTTCACATTTATCCTTCTAGGAACTATTCCAACTTCTGTGGTCTGTTAACTCTACACAAGCTAGGCAGTTTTTACAACTGTTTTTACAACAGTTTTCACAGCTTTAAAAACATACACTTTGAAATCTCCCAATAAATAACACAGTAATAGCAAAAAAAATGCCCTTCTTTGATTACAGACGATTTGATTTGATCGCACACTCAAATCTTTGGTTTTTGTGGTCCTCTGTTAGGAGTTTCGGGACCCAACGGGAGCACAGTTTCCTAAACTTTAGGTGTTCAGAAACAATGTTGTAAAGCACTGATCTCGACACGTCAGGAAATTCATTTGAGAGACCTGTTATTGTGAAGCGCCTGTTCTCACGAATCTTCTCTTCAGCTGAAGCCACCAAATCGTCTGTAATCAAAGAAGGGCGACCGGAGCGGTCCTCATCATGGACGTTGTCACGGCCATCTTTGAATTGTCGTACCCACTTACGCACTTTGCTTTCACTCATAACAGTATCACCGTACACTTCACAAATCTGTCGATGAATTTCTGCAGCAGGCAGGTTCCTTGCTGAGAAAAACCGTATCACTGAGCGAACCTCACATGCGGAGGGTGAGTTGATAGTCTTTAAAGCACAGAACAGAACCGGAAACTGAGCATAGTTGTTCCCGAGGCATGCCGGTACATGACGCACGCGCTCGTTACGGTATGCGTGCGAACTACTCGTGTCTACAACAAAACGGACCTTACTTAAAAAATACCCCTCGTATTAAGGAAAGGATTCGGAAATCTCGGGGGTTTCGAAAAGTTTTGAACATTTTTTTTCTGTGAAAATTGGAATTGACTTTCGAACTGAACCACCAGCACCCCCTACATCTGAAACAAGTTTTGAACCATTTTTTATCAACCAATATAACCAGGATAAGTGTGAAGTCACTTACTTAATGCACACAACTACAGAATCGGTTGCCTCAGCAATGTGGCAGCAGCGAGGGTCGCACATATCTAATAAACACATAACGTTTGAAAAGAGATTACTGACAGTTTAAGTCACACTAATTTTTAGGAATTTTAAAAAGTTTTTTTCATTAAAAAAACCCTACAAGACACGGCGGGGAGGAGACCAACTTTGCAGAAAGCCATGTGATTGGCTGACAACGAAAAAAACACACACAGCTGCCATTATTATTATTATTATTATTATTATTATTATTATTATTATTATTTGGGGTGCTTCTACCCCGCCCTTCTCAACCCCCTAGGGAATCGGGGCGGCTTACAGAAGGCACAATTCGATGCCTAACAATTACAACATACAATGCAATATACAATACACAAATTTACCACATAATATCACAGTTATAACTGATTAAAACAATCAGACAGTATAATTAGCAGCAATAAAAACATCTTGTGGTCAGTGTTCACCAAATCCAAGTCCGTAAACCATTTAGCATTGTCATTGTCCTTTCCTACTCTGGTCATTATTGGTTGTCTTCGTTCATCTGCCAGCTTACCCGAAGGCCTGATCCCACATCCAGGTTTTTAGCCTTTTCCTGAAGAAGAGGAGGGATGTTGATGTCCTAATTTCCCCGGGGAGTGCGTTCCACAGGTGAGGGGCAACCACTGAGAAGGCCCTGTCCCTCGTCCCCACCAGTCTCTCTTGTGACAGAGGTGGGGCCGAGAGCAGGGCCTCCCTAGAAGATCTTAAACTCCGAGGTGGGATGTAGAAGGAGATACGTTCGGACAGGTACGCTGGGACGGAGCCGTATAGGGTTTTGTAGGTCAGAACCAGCACTTTGAATTGTGCTCGGAACTGGATCGGCAGCCAGTGGAGCTGACATAACAGGGGGGTGGTATGCTCCCTGTATGACGCTCTGGTGAGTAATCTAGCCGCCGCCCGTTGGACTAATTGAAGTTACCAAACAGTCTTCAAAGGCAACCCCACGTAGAGCGCATTGCACTAATTTATTCGGGATGTAACAAGAGCATGGACCACTGTGGCCAGATCCGACTTCCCAAGGTACGGGCGCAGCTGGCGCACAAGTTTTAATTGTGCAAAAGCTCTCCCGGCCACCGCCGAGACCTGGGGTTCCAGGCTCAGAGATGAATCCAGGATCACTCCCAAGCTGCAAACCTGCGTCTTCAGGGGGAGTGTGACCCCGTCTAACACAGGCTGTAACCCTATGCCCTGTTCGGTCTTATGACTGACCAGTAGGACCTCTGTCTTGTCTGGATTCAGTTTCAATTTGTTAGCTCTCATCCAGTCCAACACAGCAGCCAAGCACCGGTTCAAGGTCTGGACAGCCTCCTTGGTGACAGGTGAGAAGGAGTGACAGATTTGGATATCATCTGCATAGAGATAACACCTCAATCCGAAACTCCGGATGATCTCTCCCAGTGGCTTCATGTAGATGTTAAACAACATCGGGGACAGAATTGATCCCTGTGGGACCCCACA